TCTGCCAGCCTGGTCTGTTTTCAGAATGGGAGGGAGAAGAGGGAGCTCATTCTAGGGGGTTCCCCAACTGGCCTTAGAAGGTAGGGTTGGTGGAATGAAGGCACCCACATCGGGGGCAGGGGGTGAATACACCTGCCCCACCCTCCAGCAGGGGCTGGAAAAAAAAACCAACAGAGCAACCCCAAGACCAAACCGGATCAGTTTTGTTTTTGTTTGGTTGGGGGTTTTATTTGTTCTTTTTTAACTGGTCTGAAGCCACTCACTTGTGTTTGGTCATGGCTATAGATTACTTTCTGTGGCCAGATTGGGCAAAAATTATCATTTTCTGTCTGCACCCTAAAGTAGTGTTCCAGTCTCTGGGGTCAGGGTTATTGATAAAGTGCACAAAAATACACACCCAGTCTTCAAAACTGGCCACAGCCCTTGCCTGTGCAGTTTTGTCCCTATTTAAGCTTTCTTCTAGCAGACTTATTCTCCATCATTCAGCCTGCTTGATTGTTTCCTGCTCTTTCTAAGCAGGACAAAGGAGGTAGGGTTGTCCCTTTCTCTCTTAGGCAAAGCAACACAACTGTCCTGCTAAAGACTACCCAGAACCGCCTAGTACCTGGGTTTTTATCTTGATTAGAGATAATTGCTTGATTAACATCTAATCCTTGCTAAGCAGCTTGTCTCTCTTACTCCTTCAAATATCTGTTTCCTTTTAAGGGCTACTTCATGGTATAGAGAGGGGACTGGCCTTGACACTATTCTGCTGAAAGGTAGGGAAGCATCCTGTTGCAAGGACAAAGCTTGTTTCCCTGGAAAATATGGATGATGTGAAGACTGCTCATTCATTGTTGTTTGGTTGGTTGGTTGGTTGGTTGGTTAGGTTTGGCTTTTTTTGTAACTTATTGGATCTTGAATGGGTCTCTTTTATAAACAAGTGGAGACCTGGCAAAATCAGTAAACTGCAATTTTCTGAGCATGTACTTGTTAAACTATGCACCACCTGTCAACTTTGCTGTAAGTTATGTGGCTGGAACCTCAGGCAGCATTTTGACACAGCAAGGCAAATGACTGAAGAGTACTCTAATAGCTGTTGTGTCTAAATGCTCTTCACTCTGTTTTAATCAGGGATTTAACTAGATTTGATGGAAATTAAGTCTTCATTGCCACAGGATGAATCAGGGGACTAGATATTACATTGATTGACATTGTTGCACCAGCTTTACCTTTAGACATTTTCACAGTTTGTCTTAGCTAGCTGCCAAGCATAGCATAGCATACCATAATTTCTATGGCTACTAGCTGGCATACAGGAACATGTTCAGAATTCATAAGACCTGAGACTAATGCAAATCCATGTCAAATAGAGTAGCTGAATAATCCTACTGTATAACTTTATTTTGATGTCATCTCTGGGGAATTCAGTTGCAGTGCATCTGTTCAAAATTCCTGATGTGTAGAGCAGTGGAGAACTACTGTAAGCACAAAAAATATCCTTTCCCCTTGAGACTCCTCACTGCTGGAAGTTTGGACATATGGAGCAACAGATTGCTGGATAGAGAAACTTGGTTTAGTATGACTACACATCTATTGGCAACCTTCCTGGATACTGATCAACATATTTGCTATTGAAAAAATACAGTTTCAGGTCTATTTACTAGGAAAGTGTCATTGTTCTGTGATCCCAGGACAGATTGCTGTATGGGAGAATGTCTTGCAACCGGATAATAAATTAATGATATTATTGTTAAGCTGGGTGTCTAGATGACAATCAGCATATTTACTCTTAAAAGTGATCTACAGCTTCAGGTCTTTTTATTATAGAATTGTCATTTTTCTATGATCCCAGAGCAGGGGGTGGGGACGACTGCTTTCTACAATACAAGCAGTCTAGCCACTTCATTACAGAAGTATTATACAGAAGACTGTATATAAGAACATACCCCAGCAATTTATTATGTTCAAGACACTAAGATGCAGCTAATACTGCTCTCTGGCGTGTTCTTCTTCTCTTGTTAATGCCTGAATTATGCCTAAGATACTGTCTAGGGTAAATGTTAGGACCATGTATCAGCCAGTAAATGTCCAGCTGTTAATAGCATCCACTGTACAGCTAAACCCAATGAGTAACATAAAACTGTTTCCAAATGAGTGCTACTAGTGATGGTAAAAGCCTAAATTTTACTACTAACCAGAGGTAAAACTGTTGCTCAGGGGACAAATATTCTTTTACCAAAATACTATATCTGTCCCCATTGTTCTTTTTTTAATTTGTTCCCCAGAACATTCCATTCTCTCTAAGTTCTTACATCCTGCACATCACTTTTGGAAAGCAGTGACCTTAAAATTTAAATGATATACTTGCATGCTGTTTCACAGCTGTAAACATTAATATAAACAAATCTGTATTCTATCCTTGTCTAGAAGAAAAGGAAAATAGCATTTTAAAATCATGCTTATAATGAACAGTCTCTGTTATACATATGCCTCACTACCCTCATAGACATCAGGGCTGGAAGGGACCTCGCAAAATCATCAAGTCCAAGGGGCATTAAGTTGGCTCAAGTCAGATCATCTCAGCAAGATGAGCATCCAAGTATTTCTTAAAGGTATCCAGAATAGGTGCTTGCACCACTTCTGAGGGGAGTCTACTGCAGACTCTGGAGACTCGGATGGTAAAGAAGTTTTTCTTTATGTCCAGCCTAAAATGATCTTCCAGCAGTTTGTGACTATTAGACCTTGTCTTCCCTTGGGATGTCTGGTGAACAGATGTTCTCCCAGTTTCTGATGCATAGCCCTTATAGGCTGCCACCAAGTCACCCCTGAGTCTTCACTTCTCCAGGCTGAAAAGTCCCATGCCTCTCAGCCTCTCTTCATAAGGCCTGTTCTCTTGACCTATAATCATGTGGTGCCTTATCTCTTGTCAGCCTGTAGATTTCTTGAGTCAAATAGAACTTATCAATGCATGTGAGGAAGTTTAACGATCGATCAGATCCGGCTAAATGCTCTTCCCATGAGATGTCAGCCCGGTTGAAGTCGCCCATGATGACCATGTACTGAGAATATGCAAGCTTTTCCAGATCCCTAGCAACTTCATGGTCAAGCTCTTCCTCCTGGTTAGGAGGTCTGTAATAGACTCCCAAAGTTATTCCCTTCACCATGTTCTCCCTGTATTCTAACCCAGAGGGTCTGAAGTCGCCCTCCTCATGTGCCAATCTCTGCTTGTAGAGAAGTGTGCTGCTCCTTCACATAGAGAGCTACACCCCCACCCTTCATAGATTTCATAGACATTAGGGCTGGAAGGGACCTCGGAAGATCATCGAGTCCAGCCCCCCACCCAAAGGGCAGGAAGTTAGCTGGGGTCATAGGATCCCAGCAAGATAAGCATCCAATTTGCTCTTGAAGGTGTTCAATGTAGGTGACCGATGGCAGGCTGTTTCAGACCTTGGGGGCTCGGACAGTAAAGAGGTTCTTCCTTATGTCCAGTCTGAAACGGTCTCGCAGTAGTTTATGACCGTTCAGCCTCATCATCCCTTGGGGCACTCTGGTGAACAAACATTCCCACAGATCCTGGTGATCACCCCTGATAAATAGGTGGCCATCAGGTCACCCCTGAGCCTGCACCTTTCCAGGCTAAAAAGCCCCATGGCTCTCAGCCTGTTATCGTAAGGTCTGTTTTCCTGACCTCTGATCATGTGCATGGCTCTTCTCTGGACTCTCTCAAGCTTCTCCACATCCTTTTTGAATTGTGGAGCCCAAAACTGGACGCAGTACTCCAGCTGCGGCCTCACCAAGGCCGAGTACAAGGGGAGAATGACATCCTGGAATTAAAGATGTGTACAGTACTGAATTACAGCTGCATGCTTTTAAAAAGGCTAGTATCCACCTTTGGTGAGAAATCAATGGAAACAAACCATATTCATGTGCACTGAAAGCTCATTCACAAAAAGTAGCTGAATTCAAATGAGTGCATCTGAGGTTTGTAATAAATATTTCATATATCTGTAAACATGATGCTGGAGCAGGGAGGTGGCAGGGGGATACAGATACAGTAGTTCAATTGCCAGGTCAAGCTAGGAAAGTAATGGGGAGGAGGGGAGAATCCTGAGCTTCTTTAGACAAGAAAACAGAATGGTAGTGAACTGGAATTGGGAGCCTTCTTCTCAGTTA